AGTAAAACATGTAAATAAGTATCGAACATAGTAATTACATACACAAAACAACGATTTAGTTTTTGGAAAAAATCATGGTTTCAAGCATTTAGAGCAACATTTAACATTAATTAACATTTTAATGAGATTTAAAAGTCTATACAAGTACAACAATAAAAAAAGTTTTTCAATCGAAATTTTTTTTCTAGGTACAAAAAAAATTGTAACATTTTAGAGCCCCAACACATATTATCAGTGTACTACCATTTGCTATGTATTTCAAGGTCACGGAAAGTATAACAGCGGTTAAGTTCTTTTATATAACGCTTTGTATAATTATAAGTCTAGGTAACTGGTTGTATATGTTACATGTCATAATTATTATGTTGAAGTTACAATGCTAGCGACATTGATTGCTATTGGCATTAGTGTCAGATTTTAATTGAAACTTGATTGTTTCAGGAAATATGTTTTTGTAATAACTATCGTGAGACATACTAAATTAATTAAAAATCTCGATATCAGTAGGCTGCGCGACATCGCCCCGACGCACGCTGCTCATGAGGAAGAACCTCTCTGTACTTCGAAACTAGTAGAGCTTTACTCAGTATATTCACTTGAATAACCCGCGGTTTTTAGTTAATTTAGGAAAAGATTTGTTAAGGCGGAATACGTAACTTATCCCTTTGTTTATTGGTGATAGTCGATTTCAACTACAAATATTTTGTAGCGCTCGTCCTTAGTAACATAATCAATATTTTCAATGAGCTATCTCCAAGCCAGATAGAACAGAAAGTGAATAGAAGGCTGTATTTAGCAATGGATGTCTTTCAACTGACTGGCTGACTGACTATGATGATAAAAACCTTAAAAAAGTATACGATACACCTATCGCCATCTATTGAAGAGGTATACAATATTACTTACTTAAGCAATGGCCCACAAATTACACAGGCACATTAGGGCCGATACCAGACTGGGGTTGAGGAGAACCGCAATGGAATCGTGGCTTTAGATAGAAGCACGAGTTAGAACGGAGTGATTTTTAAAAGTCTGAGACTTCCTCTTATCTTACCTCATTGGAAGAGTATTTCGATCATTTTCCCCTTAAAAAAATATTACACAGACATTGTACAGCAATTATTGTACGAAGATGCTCCACTAGTACATTCGTATCGTAAAAGTAAAAGTGCTCGAGGTTGTTGCCTTGCTGGCCGACATCTGCGATGACGTTGCTTCACTCACGATTCTATTAATCTGTTGCGAGCTAAACACGATCTTAAGTACTATTGTTTTGTTCTCGTTTGAATTTGGTTTTTGTGTGAATAAATATATATTTTTTTATGTTAGGCAGTATTATTGGATCTAATGGTGATGCGAAAATAAGTTCAATCTCTTTTCTTTCTATAACTTGCTCGAGGTCATAGGATCAAAAAGTGTTGAAAAAGACAGCATAGTAGCTATTCATTTTATTAAGTAAATCTGAGACATAGAACTAATTAACACGAGAAAATAAAAAAAAATCAATGTTTTTTTCTATTTTCAGTAATGTTGTAGAACATTACATCTAGCTAGTAGGATTCAGAAAGAGACAGTTGTATCAACTACCTAAATAATACAACGTCCTAAACGCTACTTAAAATGAAAATGCAAAAATCCTTCTCCAACAAAGCTATTACTCAAGTTTTTTCTCAACTTCTTCAGTTTTAAAATTACGTATTTCTAAGTCACCGTTCATACACTAATTGTCATACAAATCACTATGTATACTATTCATCTGCCAACTTGTATGCAATAGTTGCAATTGTTTCGTCCGTGCACTTCCTCTGTTCTTGTGAAATTACTTCCTTCACTTACGTGGTCGGTTAGAGACGTATTGTGTGTGAGTTTTAAATGTGGTATGCTAATGAGTTCGTTTTGTAATGATACTGGGCGTAACGCTTCATTTTCTTAGTCGAATAGGTAAAGGAATTGAAGTTTGGAAATGAACGGTCGAACGCTAAGAGTCTAGTGACTCTAGTAAAAATATAATACTTTCTGTTCGAAGAAGGTAATATGGTGAACTCAATGTCTACATTGAGTAATGTGATGAAAAAATTATTTCATTAAGGAATGCAAACCACCAATTCAAGGTCTTAGTGCTATTTTTGCATATTATCGAAATCGAAAATCAATATAACAAGTGCAAGATGAGTTTGAAATACCATCTGCACTTCTTTTTAGAACATATTGACATCTGATAATGTGTTAAGACTGTGAAAAACATATGTTTATAAAGAGTTCTTCTCCATTCGAAACTACACTTTGGAAGCGCGTCTAGCTTCACTGTCAAACAGACGGACGGGCAATTCAATTTGACGTTTCAAAAGTACCTAATTAAGGATTAATTAAAATAAATGCTTTGACTTTTTTACTGTTTTTACCTCAAACTATAATCTTTTCAATGTCACAGATGATAATAAAAATGGTACCGATATTACTTGATATATTAAGTGAGTTCTATTGGTTAGTTAGCCTTAAGGGCTCATAGAAAGTGAGGCAAGCATCGTTAGACAATTTCGACCTCTCACGCTTAACCTTTGTTGTCGGAAGAGGTAGAAAAGTTACATACATAAATGATTGTACCTATAAGACTGTAGTAATGTCATTTGTTCTATGTAAGGTTACTGTTATTTAATTAATGGGTAAATCCAATTTTAAAAAAATTAAGAAGTGACAGAGTGTCACTGGTACATGTGAAATCGAATTGATGAGAAGAAAAACACAAAAGATACATACATATTACATACATACATACATACATCAACAGCCTATAAGTGGCCACTGCTGAACAAAGCCTCTTCTCACACAGAGAAGGTTTGAACATTAACCACAACGCTTGCTCAATGTGGCTTGGGAAAAGTTACAATCATGTTTTAAATATTTATTTTTGAATAAAGAAAAATTTGAAGAAACCATTAATTCATAAAAGATTAGTTTATGAATTAACGGTTTCTTGTCTCGAAGTTTGCATAGGCTTAAGTTAAGAAATCTCATGCAAGCTAAAATAATAATTACTTAGCGAACGAGTAAATGGATGCATGAATAAGTATTTATTAATTTAACATGGTATTTAGGTAGGTAATTGAAAATTTATTAATTTTGTATTACAAAAGTCTGTATCTAAGAAGCTCATTTACAATAATGCACCATGAATGATAAATGAAATCAAAATAATGCACGCATACACATCTGGTTAGTCATAGTATTATGATAGTTTTTGCGACTTTGGTCCCTATCTAGTTATACTTAGCGTTTGTTTTTAATTTTCTAATTTGAAATTGTTCCTTTTCTTTAGTAATTACTTAATGACACTATTTGCTTAAAACATAAAGTTCAAATTCACTCGACCTGAGTTTATTAAACCAGATTTCACACAAGCAATTAATCATACTGACGGGCTGTGAAACAATTAGGCTAAGTACTACAGTGACCTGTCATTGTCAACCTTATTACTTTGATATAAAGTCGAATATTCAATGATTAATTTGAAATTGGAGTACTTCTTAACTGTCGGTGACCTCACCGTACAATAGGGTTGCAACACGTCACGCTTCAACGCACGTAACACACGCACGTTGTTACATCGAAAGTGCAACCTCGAATTACCGCTTGCCAACCCTTGATCGTTGGCTCGAGTTGATTGGCGATTGGTTAATGTAGTGGAAATATTTTGTTGCGACGGTTTTCACATGGTCTGTAATCGTATGAAACAGAAATTAATTCCCTATTTTTCGAAAATTCTGTTATTAGACGAGAAGTAGTGAGCTAACCTAAATATTTTTGTAATTGACGAAATTATCGCCTGTTTGCGTCCAACCGACGCAGTCCGACGTTAGATGGACGCGAACTGGCCCATCTAACGTCCTTTTAAAAAATAATCCGAAAATAAGAAAACTATCACCATATAAGTAGCATTTAGTACACATTTGTTTGATCTTGACTGCCTCTTTGGCCGGGTGGTCGTAAGTGCGATTGCTGGGCAAGGGGTTTCGGGTTCGATTCCTAAGTCAGGCAAAGTGCTACTGGGTTTTTCAAAAAAAATCTCAGTAGTAACACGGAGTCTGCAATTGTGCCCGTATATGTATATGACAATAGGCTCACCCTCTATTACATGGGACTCATTACATAAATAGTGAAAAGTGTGTGTTACGTGGCATTAAGTGCCGTAATGCACACCTCTACCTACTCCTTCAGGGATGAAAGGCGTGATGTTATGTTATGTTCTGTTTAACCTTTTCACATTTTAAGTGACACATTCATGGCAATCCGAAAATGGATGGACGGAACTGCTGGGTCGACCCGAACAGGTGAACTTACTCTACATCCCGCCTTGCAACCACGTAGAAGATTATTCTACAGTTTGTTACCATAATAAGTGAATAATTATTCATGTATTTAATTGAAAGGTGTATAGAACTCATACTACCTTCAACCACATAATTGCAACAACGATAAAGTGTTTAGAAATCTGCTAAAAGGCCTACAGTAATTAAACACTTCAGCCTATCAGTCGTAATCAGCACTAATGAATAGAGGCGGACATTGTCAGTAGATACCTAGTTAGATACAGTGTTATTATAGACCAAGTTGATTAGTAGCTGAACAATGTACTTACTAGAAATAATCTAGAAATATTTTTTATATAAACTACGTTTAAAACAACCGACTGCAACCCCCTCCTTTTTTGAAGTCGGTTAATTAATATACTAAAACTTTTATGTGTAGCAAAACACTTTTTTGGAAACGACATCAAAACCAGATCAGCCAATCGCGAGATAATCGCGCACAAACATATATACAGGTCAAACTGAGTACCTCCATTTTCTGAAGTCGGTTAAATAGTGGTCAAAACAGCGAAAAAGCTGCTAAGATTGCTACGTTATACGTAAAAATATTATTTATCTTACAATTGAAATGGTAATGTAATTATGAAGTACTACTGAATTAGATAATTAAATTGTTGTTATTTCTTGTTTCAGCCAGCGCCGGCATCCTGCTAGAGCATGCGCCCGCGTGTCCAGAGCAATATGGAGTTCAGGTAAATATTTTTTTTTATAAACAGTACCTATAATTTATTTTATTCATAATTGTCTTCGCCTAAAAGTGGATTTTTTTCAAAGAATTACCCCATATCATCTTATTATGTGCGAATTTAAAAAAGTTCTCAGTAATATTCATTTTACGTGAAAGTATATTGTGCAATGTATAGATGTCGTATTTGCATCATCATCATGATATCAGTTACCAGTTTTCTACTGCCAAACACAGGCCACCAATGACAATGTGTTCATATTATGTTACAACAACTTTGCTCCAATTTCCAGGCGTACGCGCACCCCGAGCTCTGCGACCAGTTCTTCCTGTGCACCAATGGCTCTCTGACGGTGGAGACCTGTGAGAATGGCCTGCTGTTCGACGGTAAGGGCGCCGTCCACAATCACTGCAACTACCACTGGGCTGTCGACTGTGGCAACAGGAAAGCTGATTGTAAGTACCTCCTCCTTGCTTGAATTTCTAAAATTGTTATTATTATTATTTCAGTAATAATTCATCAAGTATCACCGTAATAGACTTTAGGGCTATTATCGAGTTCTCCTGGACCAGCCAGGCCAAGAATTTTAAAGACACTAATGTTCATTTTTAAGTCAAGTCTAAAATCATTTTCTTTCGTACAATTCCAGTAACTCCTCTCTCGACTCCCGGCTGTGAGTATCAGTTTGGCATCTACCCTGACAGCAGCGAGTGCTCCACCAGCTACATCAAGTGCGCCTACGGAATCCCTCAGCAGGAGCCCTGCACCCCTGGTCTGGTCTACGACGAGCGTATCCACGGCTGCAACTGGCCTGATCTCCTCCAGCCTTTCTGCAACCCTGAAGGTATTAAACTTATTTTCAGTACATGTATTTCATTTTTATTTGTTTAGAAGCGATCTCTAACAGAGAATACAGGTAACATAAAGCAAAATGATAATGCAAACAGAAGTCTTGTAGTCCAGTTATAGGAGTTATATATTCATTTTAACCAGTTTTGATGTTATTGGTTCCTTACAACAGAATCTTGGACATCAATCATTCCTTAGCAAATGGTATACTGTTTGCCATAAAATACTTGCCAATCTTTTATCTTACTGCTTCGAACATTCGTTCAAATTTCGAACAGTAAATTTGCAAGTACACTAAACGCCATCTATAGAAGGTGAAGACAAAGCATTCTTTTCGAGTACAAGAATTACAACATAGATGGCGGTGTAATTTAATTCACACTACTTAACACTATGTTAGATACTACTAGTCACTAGATCTTAACATCAAATTTCTTCTCTAGCTGTCGTCGGCTTCAAATGCCCAACGAAAGTACCAGCCAACTCACAAGCCGCCAAGTTCTGGCCATTCCCCCGTTTCCCCGTTCCTGGAGACTGTCACAGGCTCATCACATGTGTAGAAGGCCACCCTCGTCTCATCAGCTGCGGAGAAGACAAGGTCTTTGATGACCAGAGCCTGACCTGCGAAGACCCAGAACTTGTCCCTCACTGTGGTCACGCGTGAGAGGATTCAAGCAACTTTGTATCATAAGACGAAAACGATAGGGATGAAAATAGGATAAAAGAGGGTTGGAGTATTGGTTGTGTAAGAATTAGAATTAATGTTACTCAATTATCAAAAAGATATTTTCCGAATTGAGTAATATTACTTACTTCTTTATCCGTTGAGTAACGTCAAATTAATTTCTGTAAATAATTGTTACCATGTCTTAAGAAATTGTACCATTTCAGTTTTGCTTTTTATGTAACTAATTTGGTTTCGTAAAGGGACAATCAACAAAACTGTTTTATGCATAAGAACAATGCAAATACATATCTTTGAGTACTACCTATAGCTACATAACTTTTCGAATTGTATACAAAAGGAACACAAAACCCTGTTGTCGATTGTACATTACTCTTTTTAGCATTAGACGCACGAACAGACAAACAAACGTTTTCGTTTTGTGATACATTATTTTTATATTAATTTAATGTCACAGAATGATTGGAAATATGTTTCCACCGAGTGCTATTTATTCTTTAATCCCTAAACTCAGTGTGATCCAGTATAAACACGCTAAAACGAACGATTTGCCAAAAACAGTCGATTCAAGAGTGATATTAGTTACCATAGTTATTGTTAAACAATAGAATCGTCAATTGTATGTATTTTTCCTGTAGAGTTTTTTTCTGTAAATATTAATACTGATGAAATAGTGGAAATGTAAATAGAAAGTTGTGAGAGAAGAGAAATATATTTAATTAATTAAATTCGTTTTTGTTTTTCTTTAATTCAGGTACCTTTAAATCCAAATAATAAGACCTACATCAACAGCCTATAAATGCCCACTGCTGAGCAAAGCCTCTTCTCACACGGAGAAGGTTAGAACGTTAAACACCACGCTTGCTCAATGCGGGTTGGCGATTTCAAACTTATAATTAGAAATTATAAGTCCAGGTTTCCTCACGATGTTTTTCCTTAACCGTTTGTCAGTGGTGTCTAAATAATCTTAGAAAGTACATATAACTCGGAAAAAGTCACATTGGTACTTGCCGTTGGTAGGTTTCGAACCCACACCCTCATGCATGAGAAGTGGGCGTCTTAAACCTCCGGGCCACCACGACCGATAATAAGACCTATACTTAGACAAAAGTCGCTGTGAAATGTTTGTAGATGTACCATGAAACTACGAGGATAGAACTACGTTCGGAAAGGAGAAACACACCGAAGAATGGTGCAGTACATTTTTATCATTCACTAGCCGTACCGGCAACTTCATCTGAGATTTTCTAAAATAACTCCTTAGTCAGCTACCTGGCAATAAAATTCCCATCAAAATTGGGTCCGCCATTTCAGAGATTAGCCAATACAAACAAAATGAAACGATAAATAATAATAAGTAGTCAAACGTTGCCCAGAAACCTCATCAGCAAACATGGATGAGGCTCTAGAAAATGTAAAAACTAATCCATACTTTGAGGAGTATGCTGCGCGTATTGAATATTTACAAAAAACTAGCATAAAAACAATTACTTACTTGCCAATCTACAAAAAAATTATCTGATCACGTTCAGAACAAGGTCCTCAAAATATAGACTTCTTCAATAAACGATATAATAAGGAAGATACCACTATGTAAAATGTTTATTTACAGGTCGAATTCGCAATAATGGTTGCAAGTGCGACGGCTGAGTAACGGGTCTCAGGTTTGATTTCCAGGTCGGGCAACTTATCACGGGGTTTTAAAAAAATTCTCAGTAGTAACAAGGAGTCTATAATTGTGCCTGGCAATAGGCTCACCCTCTATTACATGGGATTCATAACATGAATAATGAAAAGTGGGTGTTACATTGTAGAGGTACAGTGGTATTAACTGCCGTAATGTGTACCTCTGCCTATTCCTTCGGGGATAAAAGGCGTGATGTTAAGACGTATGTAAGTGCAATAAAAAACAAGATCTACCCTTACAAAACTATTTTTATTAAGCTAAATTATATTAAATGCTCTATTCCTCGTCGGCTTCAACTTCCACCGCTTTAGCCTTGTGAGGCCTCATTGGCTTGCGGCGAGAGGGGGAGCTGCCAGCGGGTTTGGGCTTAGGGGTAGGGGGGTTCTCTAGAGCTTCCAGTTCAGCATCAGTCAGCTGTCCTTTGTACCAGTCAGCGCTAGAAACAGACAGACAATATGTGAGTACAAGGTAGGCAAGTCGCATTTGTTGAAGGTTTTTCAAGTTATGTGTAATGGATAAGAAAATGTAGGTCTATCAAACAAATTCTAAGCATGAATGTGAATTCAATGGTTATATTAAGACTGTTTAGAGACTTGTGCAGGGTATCCAAATAAACATCAGCTCAATAATGCTACATTAGGTACACTTCCCAATGAAGTAATTGGAGATTTCTAAACCAACATGTTTTGAATGACGAACCGATTTGATCTTATCTAAATCCAAACTAAACTCTTTCAACTAAACAGACAATATATAAATAGTTTAAAAAAATACTGCTTACCATTCGGGGACCTTCCTGGCCCACTCGCATCTCTTGTTGACGTCATCGAAGGCCTGGCCGAGCTTGCAGCCTGAACGACGAGGAGTGTTACCGTTGATGCACACGTAGAAGAACTGGCAGTCTTCAGGGTCAGCGTACCGAGGGTGAGTCAGACCAAAGGTCTCGTTGACGGGAGGGCAGTCAAAGGCGAACACCTCTGTCAATGAAAGGAATATTGTGAGAACGTATTAAAAGAAAAATGTTTATGAAATAGTTTAATGAGGGTGGTCTGATTTCAAGTCATAATTAGCCCAGAGATTATGGTAGCTACCCACTTTTGAAGTACCACTATCCACATCCGTTTGTCCACCTTACCTTAGGCACGAATGCAAATTTTTCCTTGGAAATTTATTTTAAACCTCAATAATAGATTCTTCTGGTGCAGGAAAGAATTGTCTCAGTTCTTCTCTACAGGACAATCTTCTCTAGCAAAGTAGACCGATAGAGACTGATATCGTAATGTGGTATAGAAGTCATAAAACTGTTAACAAAAATCGAAGGGTAAATAGTGACTTACCAGCGGCACCGCAACCCTTCTTCTTGGCTTCATCAGGCCAAGTGCAGATGCCAGTCTTGTCATTGTACACCAGGCCATCAGGACAGGTGATCATGTTGAACTTGCCATCCACGCAGTAGTAGAACTTGCCACATTCCTTGGGGTCTTCGTGGGAGAAGTAGCCGTTCTGACGGGGACAGTGCAGCGCGGGGATTGGTGTTTCTGGTGATTAAAGTGATTTTGTTAACACCATACAATATGTTAATTAATGTTTTAGGATAAGGACAGGTATTGTTGGAACAAGGAGATGATTGACAAAGAATTTGATAAATTTTTGGACCCTATATTTGCGTTGTTTGATAATAATGACACTGATTAAAATATAATTGGTAAATCTGGGCATATGTAACTCTTAGATTAGCTATTTGGGAAAACTTAACGTAATAATTATAGATATACTAGCTTCTGCCATCGGCTTCGCCCACTTTCCCGTAGGATAAAAAGTAGCCTGTGTGTTATTTCAGACCATAACCTACCCTTGTTCCAAATTTCATCTCGATCCTTTCAGCCGTTTTGACGTCAAAGAGTAACAAACAATCACACACACATGGATGTATGTGTGATTCTCACAACTTTCTCATTTATATTCTAGCTTCTGCCAGCGACTTCGCCCGCGTTTTCGTGACATAAAAATTAGCCTATGTGTCATTCCAGACCATAATCTACCCATGTTCCAAATTTCATCCCGGTCCCTTCAGCCGTTTTGACGTGAAAGAGTAACAAACACACACGAACACATATACATACACAATACACATACATCCTCACAAATTTTCCCATTTATATTAGTAGGATTGTTGTGAACACCTTTCGTAAGAATCATTCATGTACATAAGATTGTAATTTATTTTCTGCGAATACTTTTTATTAAAACATACAGTTGAACTTGCGTCACTTGACGAGGTCGCACTTCCCTTGAGAATGGAAAGTTGTCGCCAATATGAAGAAAAAGGCAATATAATTTAAATGTTTATTTTAAATTGCAGAGAAAATGTAATGACTGTGTTCCTAGAAGTGCCTACTTATAACTTCGCCTGTGATACAGGGCTTTCCTAGTACAAGCATCTAACTGTATAAGGTCTACATCGCTTGTTAAGATAATATTTTGTATATTGCCCAAAAGATTATTTATTATTAGTTATTTATAACTTAAGCAAAGATACAACACTACAATAGCTGACACTAAATAAAAAGTCTTCTTACTTCAATAAAAAAGGTTTGCTTTTAGAGACATCTCAAGAGATGATACTGTCAAACCAATATGGCTAGTTATTAAAGTAAATTTTTCCTTTAATCATCAATTTTTTTTTGCTTTTTGTGTTTTCTATATTTAACTATATTATTATTGATTTTTTATAAATATCAAAGATTCAAAAACAATTTATAAATAGTTATCATCTTCGCAAAAATAAACATATAAAGATCCGTATGTATATTGTCACAGAGTAAATAAATTCCGCGTCGCTCCAAGGTCGCGCTTCCCTTGAGTTGTGAAAGTTGTTCCAGCTCCGTTGACCTACGGCATTTGTGTGTAAACTGTATTCTAATGATGTCACTAACCAGTCACTCTGAGACTTTATCTAGGGTTGACCAAAATGATTATAGATGTTTACTGGAATACGGCTCGTCATAATTGCCTTTGAAATTGTCTTTTTCCTTTCTTTAGGGAAACAGTTAGTGTTCTTACTATAAATATGCGCTATGTAAGTTAATGTTTAACAGTATGTCTTCTTATTTTGACCCAACATAATAATTTTCCTGTTAGGTAATAGTTGATTGGTTGAATTTTGAAGTATGCAATTTCATGTCAAATTTTTTTTTTAAGTCGGGATCTAAGTAGTATTTGTTTTAATTCTCGTAGTTTGATAAGACGAAACCGTTTAAAATTAATGATATTTTACGTATCATTGAATAATGAAAAATATTATTATAATTTTATAACAATGCGACAACCCTACCTGATTACATAATAGCAAACACGTGCTAAGGCGCTGCACGTGTCTGTGGTCGAAAATAGCAACTACTTAGGTATTGTACAACACGATTCTAGTAATAAATTTTACTTCTAAGTTCGTCGAATTTGTTTTCCTTGTAGCGAAAAAAAATAAGTGATTTAATTTCCTTATTTTTTTTATTTAAAGGTAGTCATCCTTTCTGTATAGTCTCTGACTTGGATACTGATAAATTAATTCACGTCCATATATAATACAGCTGATCCGGCGAACTTCGTACTGCCTAAAACTTTTAAAACATTTTAAAACTTCCCTGGACTTCCACGATCATTTCAAGATCAAAATTAGCCCGATCGGTTCACTTGTTTTCGAGTTTTAGCGAGACTAACGAACGGAAATTTATTTTTATTTATATGTATAGATGTATACTATACCAACAATTTTTGACCGTTATGCTATTCCTATCATGCGTAATTTTCTTAATTCCTAATTGTACTGATCCTGCATAGTCACACTTGAACTGAAGTAGGATCGAAATTCGTAACTGACTGAATCAAAATCTTTGGATATTCTATGAGAATACTTACGTAGTTTAGGCCTGGCAGAGCAGTCGAGGTTGAAGGGCAGGTCACATTTCTCCTCTTGTGCGCTGTAGTCGTTGAACACCATGCCGTCAGGACATAGCTTCTCGATTATGGAACCTCCTCTGAAAAATGAAGGTTTTGAGGTTTAAAAGCTGTTTACATGAATGTCAAGCCAAACGTTATCATTATGGGGCGTAACGATAATAAAAATTCATCATTTTTATAATAACTATTGTGAGACATACTAAATTAACTAAAAATCGCGGATCACTCACGTCAACATACTGAGAAAAGCTCTACTAGTTTCGCTAGCTGTCGACATCGCCGCAACTCGTGAGGAACAACCCCTCTGTGGTTCAAAAGTAGTAGAGCTTTTCTCAGTATATTCACGTGAGTAACCCGTGATTTTGAGTTAACAACAATTCATTGTATTGTGCCCTTTAAAAATTAACCAACCACTCTCTATCTACTGATCATGTCTTTGTTATCTTTGAGTATTTAAAAATCAACCCACGTTTCACCATTTCAACCGTACTTCAGCAAAGTACACAATTTGTTTACCTACTAAATCCTGTTCAAACCACTTAACAGTGCATTATGCAGGCTTTAAAGTAAAACCTAATGTAAATAGCCTTTCCCTGCACGAAAAGCAAATATTTGTTCAGTGATGTATTTTTTTAAACCTCAAGGTCATTGCACTTAAAAGGAAAAGTTTTAAGTTTATAACAAATGCATTCTCATTTTGAATGATTTATTTTGAGGTTTGGGTTCTATTAAAAAGTATTTATTTTGAGAGTCAGATTTGAATGTTAGTTTTTTTTTGTTTGAAATTGGAACCCTTGGAGTGAGTTGGCAGTTGTTTTGTGAATTTTGTGTAGGTATCGAGAATCGCGATTCTCAATTTGAATACAAATGTTTTGGTGATTCTGATCCCTTTGCGGTCATTTCATATATTATATTTTTGCACGGCCTTCTTTTTTACTTTTTTCTCAAAGCTTTATTTCAACTTTTGTCGAACGGTCGTAAGCGTAACCACTGAGCAAGTTAAGTTTCGATTCCTGTATTTGAAAAAGTACTAAAGGGTTTCTTTTCGTTTTTAGAAAACTGTGGTAAATGCATGGAGTCTCGAATTGTGTTTAATACATTTTAATAGTCATCACTCCCTGTATGGGAACCATAACCGGAAAAAATCTTAAGCCTTCGTGGAATAAGGCGTGATGTTATTTGTAAATTTATAAAAACAAAATTTACTTATTTACCTGCATTCGTAGTATTTGTCGCATTGTTCAGCATCAGCAAAGAAACCGTCTTCAGGACAGTCATTTGTGATTTCAGCTTCCTGTTCAGCCTTCCTTTCATTTTCAGCAATAGTCCTCACTGGAGGGTTGACTGGTTTCCTACCTCTGGGCTTTGGTCCTGCAGCTGATGCAAGAACTGGAAAGATATGAAACAGATTTATTAGAAAAGATTGTATGATCATTCTGTTTTGTGATTTAATCTAGAAAATAGTACCTGAGAAGTAACAATATTAATTTTTCCGCATTACGTACTTTTATTTTATTTTAACACCACTTATACCTGCACTATCGTAAGGAAACCCGGCCCACAAGTGGCTAGTAAATCAAGATAATTGGGGATGGGGTTTTACAATTATGAAAGTGCAATTTTCATTACTAGAATGCTTTACCAAGACCAGAAGCTTCTAGCTTAAATATGTATCTGTTTCATGATAAAAGCCATGTTTATTTATTAATTTATACACAGAAAGCACACAGGAGAATAGGTAGGTATATAAATAAATTGGATACATAGATACTACACATTCCCGTAGGAATCTTTTCCTGCAGTCTTTCGACAGAAAAACAGTATAAAATAAAAATTGCGTTTAAAAAATCGACTTCAAAAAACCAAAAACTAATAACAAACAAAAAGTCAAAAATAAAAAGAAAAAAATAACTATCATTAGTACTGATAGGTTTCCCACCCACTGAGGTTAGAAGTCGGCGCCATAAGTTCTATACAAAATTATTCATTAAAACCTTAATAGATAACTAATTTACAATTTTGTGGCCATATAGTTATTGGTAAGCAGAGCACTTTTCGATATAATAAATAAAACCTTATTTTATTTATTATTTCGAAAAGTGCTCTGCCCTTCTCCTCTGCTCATTATCTAAAAGAAATTAAACATAATGTTATGCTTAATTATTGTATAATGATTTTGACGGTGGTAGGCCTAACCGCTTTTTAATCGGTCTGTTACCTAACTTGGCCTCCATTGATAACAAAACTTGTTCAGTTATGTAATATTGATATACAAAATTAATTTATTCAGTGACATTTAGAACGAAGTATATTAGAATAATATTTCTTTTTAGTATGTTATTAACGCGATAATTAATTTTTAGTAACATTAGAGAATATTGTAGTGTTTCTTGAACTGTTACTATTGGATTGATGAACATTTGACAAACATGTATAAAAAAAGTCAGACTTGTATAAATAGTAGCACGGTGTCTGGAATTGTGCCCGGTATATAGCAATAGGCTCGCCCCCTATTACATGAAACTTACAACATAAATAGTGAAAAGTGGATGTTACATTGTACAGTGGCATCAAGTGCCGTAAAGTGCACCTCTGCCTACCGCTTTGGAATGATATTTTTTTATTTAGACATGTATCTTAATAAAAATTGGACATTCTCAAAATAAATATGGCAAACCAATTTCTCATTTTTTGTCTTTATTTCTACGCTTAAATACGATATTACTATAAATTAAATAAAAAATAATGACACACACATCGAAGACTACCTGTACTTGTATATATGTTACTTTTCCTGTGCAGACGCACGTTGACAAAAGTAGTTCACATTGAGTGCGGTCACTTCCTATAGTTCAATGTTGCCCGCAGTAAAAATAAAATGAACTCAGTTTAATGTACTTTCTAAAGTATTCAATAACACTTAGAGGAAATTATAAGTCAAGATTTCTTTTTGACAAGATTGGTTTTAATATTATACAATTGATATTTTTACTTAAGGTAAAGAGGTATGCAAGAATCGTAGCATTTCGCGTTCCATAGTCTCTGCCTGACCCCTCATGGGAGACATGCGTGAAGTTATGTATGTATGTATGTATGTATTTTCACCTAATATTGATTTAATATATATACTTCAAAACAGCTTAAACTGTCTGTTAAGATATCTGTAACTTATCTATAAATCAAAACATTTGACCTTGGTTCTATAATATCGTGTTACTTAACGTGAATTAAAAGAATTCGGTTAAAATATGCTTTTAAAGTCAAATAAAGTTGTGAACCTTGAATTTCAAACTATTGGAAAGTGTTTTGTATTACATTATTTATTCATATTTTTGATTAACACTAGAAGGGCCAGGCTTCATGCTATACCTTCAAAGACCGCAGCGGTCAATTTGACGGTACTAGAGATTAAGTCAGAATACTTATGAAATTATTGCATATTTTGCATTAAAATAAAATAAAAATAATAAAATAATGTATTTGCATTAAATTGAGTAACATTTGTAGCAAGTATCTAATAGTTTTGAAACTTTTTTCTACATTTTCCACAAACAGGTTTTTTAGAGATAATGCAGTTTTCACATATTTTATTTTTTTTACAATTACTGTTGATTTGACATTACCGCCTCTTATTGTTTTTAGTAGATGGTACACTTTTTTTAGAATAAGTTTCTTGATGCTGTGTCATAGTTGAAGTGGATTTTTTTCACATACTCTTCACGTAGTACGCTCAGTAGTTGAATGATGAAATCATGACGAAAATTTTTTAATCCTAGTAACTTTTTGATAAAGAATCTACGAGTATATATTACTAAATCAAGTAAATTGTAAAATACATGACTGGCCATCCCCGACTTCCAGCTCTTACGGTGTTCTTGCGTGCCATTTGATCGCTGATGTTTACACAAAATTTTGTTGTACCTATTGTAAAATTCAATTGTTTCAGGCAACTTTTTTTATCAGTCACTATATTTATGTTGAGGTGCAGAGTACTCAAAATAATAACATGTATTGTGTTCCAGGTTTTCCTTGATAGACAGTAAGGGTTGTATCGGTAACGGTTTTCATTATGAAGGTTTTATATCTTGTAGTATGAATACCTCTACAAATCAGTGGTACTCCTCGTCTTGCACGCCGCATTGTTCCAACAATACTAGTCTTCGACCAATAGTGTTTTAGCCGAATTTAGTGATGTGAAAATGTTGTCAGAGGTTACGTTTTGGCCCTAGCTACGACGTCCCTCTTCACTGGCGTTTGGAGAAACAAAAGTCCTTTCTGTGCCGTCACTTACCACACGACTGCTCAGCGAACGGAACTAATGCCTAATATAAAATGTAAACAAGTTAGGTACTAACAAATTAGTCAGAATTCAACCCAACATAAATAAAAACAAAAGTACCCACTTTAGTTTGAAGAGATCGTTGTTCACTATTCTTATCGCTGTCTTTATATGTATACCGTCACATTGACGGTGCGCGGTCTTAGTAGGTATTTGTAATCGAAACTCAAATACAACATATAGTTATTTTTTTATAAATATAGATTAAGCCTAAGAATAGCAAATTAGGAAAAGTCATAAAATATTAAAAGGAACTAAAACATAGTTTGCAAAATATTTAACAATGAAATTGCCTTGCGGTCAATTTGACTGCCTCGGTCTTTCTAGTGTTAATAGTTTGTTCATCGCCATATTTTTTAATTCGATTTTTTAAATCCTATTTCAAAAACCTATAATAACCATGACCTTTGTGTTTTGACAACTGTTTTTTACAATTGCTTGAGAAATAACTTCTATCACTTTAGTTGCTATATTCACCTTTTGACACGTCCCATTCAATCATCTGTACACACAGATCAGATCATGTTTTAAGGCTTGTGAAGCATTTTTGCAACTGCAAATATTAAAAATAGAATGAAACTTGTAAGATAACAGTATGGTGCAACAACTGATTTCTCTGTTACCTAACACACACAGTTTTGTTCGAATGGCACGTCCAAAATATTTAGACTGTTCATATTTCAATCGATAGATAGACAGACAGACAGCTCTTTCAATGTTCACGGTTTGTATCTAGCTGCCAAGTTGAGTAAAATATTAATGCGTTTTCGATAACGAAATAATCTGCTACGATGTCTGGCATTTGGTTTACTGTTTCGTAATAGGCTTGTTCCCAATTATAATTAATACAGTTGGCGAAATCTAGGTCTATTGTACGACTTTGTATCAACACAATATGCACCTATATGCCTGAGTAATTAAGAACAAAGGAGGATGGGTATCTTCCAATAGCAAACAGATCACTACTTCACATTAAAAAATATAACAAGTTCTCTTGTTATGCAAAATAGAATTAAATTTGAATTCTTGAGCCTCTTCATGACCTGACCTTTATTATGAATACAAAACTATAATTAAAATAATTTAATTTCCAGTTCAACAAGAAGTATTTATTAATTCGTTTGGTATTTAGATAAATTTTCAAATATCATACGTTGCTTGGTAAAAATACCTAATGCTAAGTAGTTGCACAGTTATTATGGATAAGTCCAGAGCACATAAAAATCTTACCTATTGAAAAATGAAATATATTTATGACAGGACAATGCTTAGCAAAAATATCGCGGCTTGAATTAAATGTACACCAAGACTATTTTGTTATTTCAGCTGGAGTCAAGAAGTGGAAAGGGGAAGGATGTAAGGAAATGGAGCCACTAACGTTTTTTTTTCCTTTTTATCGAACCTCCTATAACTTAAAAAATTACTTTAACATCAAAATTTTTCCTCTCATTTTAAAGCTAACTATATTGCCTTTTATATGTCATACATTACCAATTAATAATTAAAAGAAAAATATCAAAAAATGAAAATGAGAAAACGCTAGTGGCTCCGTAATTTTACTCCCAGGTGTATCTTTTGCCATGAGAAATATGGTCTAGTCAAGGTCAAAACCAAGAGTTTACCAATATCAATATGTCGTCGAGACAAGTGGCAGACGCTCCAAGTTAAACACTGGCGTTCAGCCAAATCTAGTCAAGCCTCGAAGCCAACTCAAATCTTAGCAGTTGAGTAAAGGAAGGAATGCGAAGAAACACGTTGACATTTTACTAAAATCAATAAACTACTTATAATACAGTCAACAAAAGGTCGAAATTAGAATTATAAATTCCATCTATAATACATACATACATACATACACATGTTCCCACTTGAACTTTAATGGAATTCACCGTCTGTACGTGCATAGAATAAGTACGTTGTTACTCCGTTAGTTTACTTAGAATAGTTGTTACTAACTGTTACTTGAACTTAAGTAATCGGTTTATAGCTTATCCCGCAGTTAAGTTCAGTTAAGGCCAAACGTTAGTAATATGAACTAAAATATTGGAGAATATATAGTTATTTGAGTAAAGAGCGATCGGATTGAACTGTGTACAAGTTATATTCTCGAGTTGAAAAATTCGTAATATTGAAGTATACTACAATAATGACTTTAGTCTACATTTATTTGTGATTTGTTTCATGAAAGGTACTACAGTATTATTTACAGTTGTATGAAGTTTAAAGTTAATAATTTTAACCAATCAATCTAATCTATAAACAATTGATAGTAATAATTTAAACATAGGCATCAAAAGTTCAGAGCAAAAACTTTCTCTTTTAAAAGGTAGAGCGCGTTGATGTCTTTTGTTCTCTTCCTGGCAGACGTAACCAATGACGGCCGTTACGATGCTAAAAATCTTAGTCAATCACAGATTAAGCGATCGTATGGCAACTTTTAGAGTGCTTCTTATATAGGAACATATTATCAAGCATCTATTCTTCATTTTGCATGAAGAAAATAATGGTTATTCAACATTTTCACCAATTTTGGTCGTATGTACTTCAATTTTGAGAGCAAAACTGCTATTGTTATCATCCTGATCCAGAAAATCTTTAGGTTATCTTTAACCCTAAATCTGAATAAACCATATTTGGTAAAAATACTTGATGTTATCATTAAAATTAATCGTAAATAAATCAAGCACACAAAATCGCTTTTACGCTTCATGACCTGAAAATGAAACCTAGTCAACTCATATAATATTCAACCCACAGACTCAATAATTAATTAAATTGTTAATCAAATATAGTAATTGGTTGTCTAGCATTCAAATTAGACAGGAATTGTAATTCAAGGCGCCAAGGCTAACGTGTTCCCCGACATATTGTAATAGTTACTGCTCCACTGAATAATAATTTGTTAAAGGTTATCGAAATAGGTTGTAGCTGAAATAATGAAAGTGCGTGACTAGAATGTACAAATAAATATTTCTTTTTATATGGCTTTGTTAGCAAATGTATTTGTAAAAAGACTCGGTGTAAACCATTGCTTTGCTTATAACCCAGAATACTTCTTGTAGACCTCCTATCTATCTCCAGACACAAAAACAAATAGCATAATAAGACTACACTGTAACGTAAATTAAAAACAAACAGACGCACTTTCATATGAATTTAAAACATTAGCAACGATGTGTAAGTGATTAAATTCTGACTTGGAAATGTTAGTAAAAGGTTCAAGGTAAGGTTTGATGGTATAGAAATCGTAGCTTTCTACTTCCTTCTCTGATATAAATAAGAGACATTGGTTTTGTGATTGGAATCCATATTTTCTGCCTACTATCTAGAAGTAAGAAAAAATAACCAATAACTCTATTTTCCTTTTAATCACCAATAAAAGAAAGAAAATTCAAGAAAAACTCACCTAAACAGCCCAACAAAACGACTCCCACGCACGATCGGAACGCCATCTCGTGTCCACTTACCTAACACTTATTTTACTCAAATGTCACTTAAATGTGACTTTTTAATCGATCAGAGTGACGTCCGTACCGCACTATGCCGCACTGACTTATTCACTTTTGTCATCCATTCTTAACTGTGCTACAGCTCAGCGAAAGGTTACGATAATCCTCTCGCTCTTTCCCCCACTACGAAAGTCATATCTTGCATCTCTTTCCCCCAAAGTCTGGATCCTGTTATTGTTCTACGTGGTCTGCAAGAGTATAACAAATGCAGCTATTTTGTATTAATAGTTATTTGATGTTAGAAAATTATTTTTTAATTGTTTGTTGGGTAAATTGATCGCTTGTTGTGGAATGTGTTGCGATAGGAAAGTAGAATACATGTTGAATGGCAATCAGGCTATTGCACTTAATTAGCGGTTAAAGAGCCGTTAATTAGTTGATAATGTTTCGTGTTTATAGTATTTTTATGTTTATATTTAATGTTATGTAAATTTTCAAAAATATTTTTACAAGGAACTCGATTTATTTCAAGCCCTTCTAGAGATTCACATTCATGAGCAGCATTCCACGATACACGACGCAATAACAGTATACTCTTCGAGTAAAATATTTATAATTTACCTTAACATGTACTAAGTACAAATAATTCAACAGTAAAGAAATAACTCATTGTTACATGGGTAATGGGTTTTAATCACGATTTTAAAATGTGTTCTACCTCTATATAAGTTTCTTCATATAAAACAACATTATTTTCTCTCCAAATATAACTCATAACATCAAGTGATAAGCGTTAAAAACACAAATATTACTAGATTGAAATATGTGCATAGATGCATGTAAGAGATGCATATGGAAATAATTTCCCTTAGTACTACGTTATTAAGATACGATAGAATATCCCGAATATTGTCACAAATCCACTAAGGGACTATATTTTCGTAGAGACAGTATAGCAGCATTCTCTGATAAACCTGGCCCTTTTTAACTTTCATCTCCACGTAACCCACCCAGTGTCCGGAACTGTGGATAACTTAACGCCAAAGCTGCGGACAATCTAATAGGTTACCGGGGTTCCGGTTCAAGGCAGGAGTAGGAAAGGTTTGTAGGTGGATTTTAGTCAGTAAAAGATCGACACTTTCTCTAGCTTTATCCAAGGCGAAGGAAAACTCACTGGATGAATTTTTGCCCATTCAAAAAAAAATTATAGCAATTTTTTTTTAAAAAAGACGTTGCCCCACATTAGGTTTATCTCCTGTGTCATGGATGCGTTTACAAACATACAAGTTCACATACACAATGACACCCAGACCCGAAACAACAATTTGTGGATCACACAAAGTGTGATCTAATTTCAAAATATTAACATATCTAATTTCAGAATATTAACATTTCTGGGACGTTTTTTAAATTATTATAGACTTTGAACGACAGACTCAAAACTTTCAGTTACCATCCTCTCTTTACAAAAAGGACCCTGAATCAACTTATTGTCTTCAGAATCAATACAAGTACTGCCTACTTAGCGGCAAGGCTGTATAGCGATACAATGGTGAACTGAGTCCTTAGTATGTATGAGTCACGGTTTATATCAATTTATAGGTTTACGAAAGAACATTGCGTGTGGGGAGAACATATGCCTACATTCATTTGTTCGTTCGTGTATTAATGATAAATTACATTTAAGTAAAGAAACATTATTGTTAGTATTCCCTGCAGATACCTTTTGTTATAACAATATTTCAGAGGTGTAGAGAATATTGAATTGTCAACTCTAAATATGAATACTACTTAGTTTGTCTCGTAAGAATGTCAAAAATGATCAAAGAAGCCACAAAAAGTAAATATCAGCAACATAACATCACGCTTTTTATCCCTGATGGGGTAGACAGAGCTGCACATTACGGCACTTAATGCCATTGTACAATGTAACACCCACTTTTCACTTTTTATGATCTGTGTCTCATAGCATAAGGGGTGTGAGCATATTGCCATATACCGGACACAATTCCAGACTCCGTGCTACTACTCAGATTTTTTTAAATACCCAGTAATAACCCCCCCCCCCCCATGAGAATTGAACCTGAGACCCCTAGCCCAGCAATCGTACTTGCGACCAATCGGCCTAATAGGCCTAAGGAGTCAACATAATAATGATGTTTTATTTTCTATGAACGGAGTGTTAAAACGATCGACTATTTAATGACTTCAATATCATTAAAACAAAATTAATTATCTTTCACATATACGGGATCGCCCCGCAATAATTTCATTCATTTCATCTTGAAACAAAATATTTATAAAATGACTCATTTAAAAATGGAAAATCCCTTAATTACAGTTACTATAAAATAAAGTTCACAAGAAAATAATTGACGATCGGTATTTAAGATCGCATCCATAGTATTCTTTAACCCAGTGGTTCCCAACCTGCTGTCCGTTACAGATAAATTAAAGATTCGCAAATTGTAAAAATAACTAAATAAATGCCACGGTTAACAGTTTGACTGCCGACAGAAAACTGTTGAAGGTAAATCCTCCGCTATCGTGGCCCATAGCTTGTCCCCCATGGCGTTCAAGGTGTTAAAGTTAGAATTCAATTTATTTCAAAAGAGATATCTGAGGAACCACTGGTGCCTGTAAATGAAGTCACTTTTTATAAAATCTTTATACACAGTTACACAAGAAAAAAGCATATTTATTTGTATTACAACTTTCGTCGGACATATTAAATTAATAACAATGTTTTTCGGCTTATTCACGTATTGTTTGACAAGGAACTCGACTAGTTTTCAAGCCGTTCTAGGCGCGCAGGATACACGACGCAACGACTGTCACGCACATCTGCTCGAGTTACTCGTCAAACAATACTTGAGAGAAATAATAATAACCTGAGAAAAATGACAGAAACTGGGCCTTGACCAAGAAAAGGTTGGGAACCTCTGCAGTTTAACTGGATAGTAATCCTTCACCTTTCCCGAGATAGCGTCGAACAAACGGATGAAATATCTCAGGCTATTTTTACTTTACATAGTGATTAAGTGTCCCGGATATGTTCGAAGATATTTGCACATTGTTATTATCATGTTCATTGTGTTGAACACTCAATAAACGTGTTTAATGCATATAAATTGGTGCGGCTTAAAGATAGCTCATGTAAGGTCTGATTTATCTACGATTTATGCTTAAAGACTGCCTCGTTGGCCTAGTAGTCGCAAGTGCGATTGCCGGGCAAGGGGGCTCGGGTTCGATTCCTGGGTCGGGCAAAGTATTACTGGGTTTTTACAAAATTCTCAGTAGTAGCACGGAGTCTGGAATTGTGCCCGGTATATGGCAATATGCTCACCCTCTATTACATAGGACTCATAACATAAATAGTGAAAAGTGTGTGTTACATTGTACAGTGGCATAATGTGCACCTCTGCCTACCCCTTCGGGGATAAAAGGCGTGATGTTATGTTATGTTATGTTATGCTTAAAGGTTCACCTTATTTTAGAACGAAACGTATTATTGAAACGACTCATTTTTAAAGTTTGTTTTTTAATAAGTTGCATCTAGTATAACTTTTGAGTACAATGTCTTTATTTTGATTCCAGCAAACTTTTGTCAGTATTCTGTAACATAATAGCCTACGTAATATATGTAATTTGTGTATATCAAGAGATAATAATGTGTCCATGAACAGTCATTTCCAGGAGCGGTCTCATTCGTTTTGGCAGACTCAGAAATAATATGACTGTAATATAGAGGTAATATGTATTATATCAATAAAAATTCGACTATTTTTCACACCACACTCGAAGCAAACATTTCTTTACTTTAGGATTTTTGAGTATATTAGATGACTTTTCTGCGCACTTGGACTTGCCAGGTTTATCGATATGACTTAACTAACATTATGATCGATAATTACTTCATAATAATTGGATCCTTAGGGTAATGTTGTATACAATTTGATTATAAATTGTGGTACCGAACTGAAGCAAAATCACATAAGTTTAAATTAATAAAAGTATCAGACACAATATACATATAACTCATAAGAATACATTGTAGAATTTAAAAATGACACCTCTATCAGTAAAATCTTTCGTGTGATCTATGGTTAATGGAAAAATATTAAAAACTTATTTATATTCCTTAAACACGAGATGTACTTTAAATTACATTAATGTAGACGCGGAAATAAATATAAGAAAATGAAATCAAAAACAAGACGAAGTGTTTCTGTCAATGTCAATTTTTATTGGAATGAAGGACGCAATTATAGAACAATAGGTTGCGGTCACCGGTGACCGCTTGGTGTAAGACAGTTTAAATAAAAAATATTTATGACTAGCTTTTGACAGCGGTTTCGCTTTCGCTTCGCATTGACCAAATAAAAATAAATAAAAACGTGTCAGTTTTACAAACTGTAATCTATTTCTTGAAGACTGCAGACTGTGTTAAATTATAATTATTATAATAGTTTAAGATTATTTCAAACTTTCAGAAATATGATTTTCATTAAAATAGTACTATTGAAACTACTCCCAACATATTCTGTCTGTTTCTAACGATACAACTAGCACCATCTATCGCTACGAAGCCTATCTAACTATCCATCAAACCTTTCACTGAAACTAATCACGCCATCTATTAGTTATGCAAGGAACTATGTACTGTAAAAAAAATGAATGTGATTACTGATAAAAATAATATTATGCCGACAAAATTACTTCGAAAAGGTTAATAAAGACTTTTCTTAATTTTAATTAAAGTCATGTTTTACAAAACTTAATAGTTACATAGTTCAGAAAATAATTCGATTACCTTATGTCTTGTACAATGACCGTGCCTACCCTTTTGAGAATTTATTCTTATTAAGCAGTGAAAAGTTGTTTGTATTCTTCATTTCAGAAGATACATGGTGACTGTCAATATAAATCAAGGCTCAGGATTAATTGTAAGGATATTCACTGCACTTTTACTAGAAGACAAAAAAAGATGATGGATATGCCATGGGGTATTAAGGGTGACCGACGCTAAGAAGATTTGTTTTCAGCAGTTTTATATAAACAGTCAAACCTTGAGTGAATAACTCCATATGAGTATTCGCGCAATGGAATTGACTTCTATTGGTACACAAAAGTCGCGGAGGACTTAATAGGTTGCCGGGGCTCCGGCTCGAAGAACAGATGTAGGAACAGAGTGGTTTTTATTTAGTAGGAGCCTGGCACTCTCTCTCGTTGAGACAAGAGCCAGTTGGGTAAGCCCAAGACGGTAGAAGACAGAATATTTTCAAACCTCAAAAAAAAATCGGTACACAAAATTACCTCACTTCTGAAAATGACTTAAAATAATATGTTTAGTGTACCTACCTGTCTTGAAAGTAATTTTTGCATTCCTAATATATCTTAGCTATCATAACAGTGGTTAATAAATCCACTCTCTACCGATTTACGCATATAATGAGCGCTAGTGTAACATAATTGTTGATTTCGTGCGCATCATGCTAATATTGCTTTCATGCGCGTGCGGACTAGAAAGTGATCTCAGAAGCAAATGGTTTCACTTTATCACAGATTTTATGACAGATATTTTTAGTAATTAGGCAAAAATGTGCTCTAGTTTAATTACGTTTGAGTACAATTTTAAGTGTAGTCATTTGAGATGATACTTATTTTATGATTCGTTGTTCGATTTTTATAACATTTTTGGTGCGTGTTGTTGTATTTGTTTTATAGAAATGTTTTAATTACCGACTCAAACAATGTAGTAATTATTACTATTAATATTTGTACGTATTGAGTTTGTCTTTATTATAAAACAGTGGCACGTTATTCAAAAGATAAGACAAAAATATTCATCTTATTCTGTCTTCTTGATTTACACTATTCAAGCTCTTTCGCATTTTTCGAGACAAATCTAAATGGAATTTCCATTCAGGACTAGTAGAAGAATTTTATGTACCAATTTGTATTATTTGTACTTTAGTTTTATTTTAATTAAATTTTACATTAAAAAGCACTTTTGCCATTACTCCTCGGCATACCAGGATCGCGTGAAGATATTTTCTTCGCCTCAACATTTAGTTCTGATAAAAAGTATTTACTCTTAGTCGTTTGTAAAAAAAGAAAGATCGTGTCGTCTATTCAAAACGTTTTTTTAAGTGTTTACTTCGATCTCTCTGAATTTACTAGGTCGTGTTGTGCGTGAATCTTTTTTACATTTTGCTGAAATAACAAAAAGGCCTAAATGATGAAGTAGCTGGATTGAAATTGTCTTCAACTTGGTGGTTTTCAGATAAAAATTGCTACTAAATGATTCTGTTCTTTTTTATATAAACCGTTGTTCCACACTAGGATTTTCTCCTGTGTCATGGCTGCGCTTACAAATATACAAGTTCAAAGACACATTACACCCAGAATCGGAACAACAATCTGTGGATCACACAAAGAGTTGTTACGTGCGGGAATCGAACCCACGACACGTTGCGTGGCAGCCACTTGACTAGTCACCGTGCCAATCGTGCTAACCGTGCCGTCGAGATTGGGAGGAGATTGTACAAGCTAAATTCTGCATTTGGTCACCACCAGCAATGATAAAGCACGTCAAACAACCTATCTATTCATTCAGGATTTAAAGACGTCCAACTAATACTCTTCGGGATCGCAGACGTTTTCAAAAAAGAATTAAAAGTGTATCAAAGTTACGGCTTGAAATAAAATACACCTATCGATAAACTATTTTCAAGAAAAGTTACTAGCAAAGATCTGTTATCAAATTATCGCAATGAATTGTTACAAAGACAATTTCCTTTATTAGGATATTCATTAAGACGTTGGCGGAAGGCGTTGGCGCGTGTTCTCCCGTAATTAACTAAACTAAATACAATAAAAGCATGCATGGATATCCTACGCAAGGATCGCCACAATGGTCGTAAAGTGGAAGTGAATTATGTAACATTTTTATTGGTATTAAATATCTTTATAAGTAACCGTACTTATTGCTTTCATATCACCTAGAATACTTCAGATAATGACGTTATTGCATCTACGTTAGTTAAAATTATTTTTTAACTGACAAATAACTTTCAATATTTGACAATTCTTCCATACTAAAAACTGTCAAATGTCAATTTTATTCGACAACTAGCTTTTGCCTGCGACTTCGTCCGCGTGGAATAGTGACTTCCGGCAGAAAAGTATAGATAGCTGTGCCCGCGACTCCGTTAGCGTGTAACTCCTTGTGTATTAAGTTAATGAATTGAGTAACTTCTCCCGTTTTCCCAATATTTCCCTTCACTGCTCTGCTCCTATTGATCGTAGCATACTGAAAAGTATACTATAACCTGCTCATGAGTATATAGAATAATTGTGCCAAATTTCGTTAAAATCCGTCGAGTAGTTTTTGTTTCCATAACGAACATACAGACAGACAGACAGACAGACAGACAAAAATTTTACTGATTGCATTTTTGGCATCAGTAGCGATCCCTAACCACCCCTTGATAGTTATTTTTTAAATATATTTTATGTACAAAATTGACCTCTCTACAGATTTATTATAAGTATAGATTAAGAATTAACTGAGTATTGAAAAATTTGTCCTTAATGTAATGGGTAAAAATATAGCAGGCGCAACGTCTTATAATCACCAAAGTGTTTCATAAGTTATTTTATGAGTTCCATATATCTAACTGGTGATGGATCTAATGTTATGCACCGGGTGTAATCCAAATTACGACACGTTACAATAAATTTATAACTAAAAATTCAAAAAATCCTTCAAAATTCTTCACCCATCCGAGTTATTCCATCTCATGGCTAATTTAATCACAAATCCTTCACTTAAAAATCACATCAAAATTAACTGTCACCGACGCTAACGAGTTTCATCGCCAACTAACAAGAAATACAATTTATTACGCAGGACATAATGTAATAAACCTTCAAAATGGAGATGGGTAGGATTTGATTAATGTGGCTTCGGGAATGTTCTATCAGATTGCCTATGATTTAATGGAGCAACCAGGACGCGGAGCTTGGACAGGAATCAAGTATGACTTGAATTATGTTGGGGGTAGCGTTATGGTGTTCAATGTCCATATTCATCATATATACAATAATGTACCTTATGTGAGTACATATTAGGAATGCGGATGTGAATTTGTATGTTCATCTGTTTATTTGTTGCTCATAAAGGGTTAAACGTCTGAGTGTAAGATTTTTGTGTTAGTCCATTATGCCGTTCCAAATGCCACCTCATTTGGAGTGCTACAAGATGGGGACGGGTTACAAACAAAATACACCTTTATTTAAATGTATATTCCTGCAGATATGGTTAGGTCTTTTTCAGTTATCAATAGAGGCTAATTTCAAAGAACATGGTATTTTTTTCATTATATTTGAAGGGTCGACGTTTGGCTATTTACTAAAATTGGTATTAGCAAACTTTACTGACATTGTCCTTTTTAAAAAATATTCCCATCACATAACTATCGCATCCTATTCCTTATGCCCAAATAGAACAAAAAATACAAAACCCAATATGACTCAAATCCTATACATGTAATAAAAAGCCTCACTTATTATAGAATGAACGCACCCTTTTAGGCTTTCGTTTATGTCCTGGGCTAAATCTAGATCCCACGTACGTATAGGTCCAGTACTTGTTTTCGTTCTCCGACACTATATAAGCTAGGTTTTGCTCTTAGCCCTGACATTGCCCAGTGCATTCACTATCAGTAAGGATGAAAATAATAAGTCTTGCTATATTTATTTGTGTGGTCTGTGGGAAGGGCGACGCGGGCGCGAAGGATGGGCGGCAACAGCGATTGCTATGTAAGTCTATCTGTTTGAACGTAGTATCTAATGACGATAGAAGATGGAATACCAAAAATTATTATCTCCTTATATTTCTAATCTGCATGAATTATTGTTAAATACCTTTTGCTCATTAGCATTGCAGTCTATTTCGTTTAATGGTTTTATTTATAGTATTTAATATCAGTTTTACATTACAATTGTCGTACTGTGTACGTTGGTATACCAGTACAGCAATCGACACTGTTAGACATGTGTCACAGGTATTATGTATCTATGATCTATTGTCATAATCCATTCATATTTCAGTACTATTCAGTCTGTATTTACCGTTTAACACCCATGAGAGTGAAATGATTATGATAGGGGGTAACTAGTGTTAATTTGCTATCGTGAAATTAATACCTAATTGTAGTGTATCACAATATAATGAAACCCAAAACATTCGATTCTAAAGCAAATTTTATGATTAGATAATTCTTTTATTGCGTTTACAAAGCACTATTTAAAAACCAAATGATATGTCATTCAGATGAGATATAGCATAAAAACCTATATTTCAGTGAGCTTTTTCAGGGTGTCATAAAGGTTGTGGTGTGTTTTGTAATTGTAATATAATTGGGTACTTTCCTTTATTAAAAATACATTATTTCTACTGTTTAATACAATAAAATATTTAAAAAATAGTCACACTTTCATTAATTGATTTTATTACCAACTTAATTTTAATATTATTCTAGCAATTTTTCAAGAAATATGTATGTTGTTTGACGCTAAAAACGTGACGTCGCAATACACAATCTCGTAGGTACAAAATTGATAGGAAACTGTCATTTTTGGCAATTCGAAATAAGGATTGAATTTGATTAGTTGGCAATTACCAAATTGAAAGTAGGTAGTACCCGGATCCTTGACTTTACAAAACTGATGCCGCCCTGCGACAATGTTTAACTGACATTTAAAACATAAATATGCATATATTTATATACCTATAAATGTTATTGTCACCTGCTTTATTTCAATTACCATGCAGCTCGGTCCACATAATAATGTTTTGTAATAAAACGACTATAAACGGATTATGTAGAAAACTACTGAGTGAATAACCTGTTGATATTTTTATAATATTGTTGAAGTAATAAGGGATTATATCATGAAATTATTTCTTTTATAAACTGCTCATACATGTTTGTTTAACATTTTATCTGGAGCTCCTTGGATCTTTCTGTTTGTACCTTGTTAGTGATTGACAATTTTAAGGAAGATATTAACTGATTTTAAAACGTTTTGTTGCATACGAGATAAATAAATGTGAGGTTCTAGCTATTCGCAAATTCGAAACTTAGGTAAAAAAATATTCATCATCACTGCTAGATAAAGGTCTCTTTAACATTAAACTAAAGTTAATCTTCAGTCTCTGTCTGCTGCCACCTAACTTCCATGCCCCTTTAATATTCGAAATTATTAGCACTGGCATTACATTTGCACATTGAATTAGCAGATTTCACACTTAAGGCATTCAAATTATCTATATAAAAAGTATCGAATGAATAACTTAAACTACTAATAATTTAAACTACGTTTAAAAAAACCTACATCAACCCCCTCTTTTTTGAAGTCGGTTAATTAGTATACAAACCTTCTCTTAAGTGTAACAAACACTTTTCTGAATTCCGCATCAAAAATTGCGCACAAACATACATACAGGTCAAACCGAACCTCTTTCTGTTTTGAGGTCAGTTAAAAAACATTAATTGTCACTGCTAGACAAAGGTCTCTTTTACATTAAGCCAAAGTTAATCTTCAGCTCTTAGCATCCAGTTCGTACCCGCTACTATCAAACTTCTATGCTTCTTTAATTTTTGAAATAAATAAACCCACTTGCCTTACATCTTGTACATTGAATTAGCAGATTTCACACCTAACACATTAAAACAATACCGCAAATTATAAAAGGTTTTAATCGAGTGAATAACAAACTCACAAATTACCTATTACATCCGATGATAACTTGAACATGAGTCATTACCTACGGTCCAATTATAAATATTCAAGTTATAAATAAAACAGTATTAATCAGAAGGATGTTAGCTTTCATGGGTTTCACTTTTAATCAAACACAAATCATTGTTGAATTTTAGGAAAAACAGTTTTTAACAAAAATGTACTGTTACTCTAGGCGACTCGGCAATATTAAGAAAAACTACATTTGAGTTACCACAACAGTTTATTATGTCGCGGAGAACCTAACGGGTAACCGGGGCTCCGGCTCGACGTGCAGGAGAAGGAACGGGGTGGTTTTTAGTCAGTAAGAGTCTGACACTCCCTCCCGCCTCACCCAGGCGGGAGCAGTCATTCGATGATTTTCCCCCCT